AAACAGTCTGGAGCGTTAAAGACGCATAAACTCATCCATTCTGACCTTAAACCCTTTCCCTGTTTACTTTTAAGCTGTGGAAAGTCCTTCAGAACTTCTGGAAATCTTCGAACTCATTTGTTGACCCACACTGGCGAAAAACCATTTGTATGTCAGTACTGCAAGAAATCATTCTCACAATCCAGTTCGTTAAAAACACACAAAGCTCTTCATGAAGATAAAAAACCCTACTCTTGTAGCAGGTGCTTTAAAGAATTTGCAGCTGTTGGAAACTACAGAAAACATCTTGAACAATGTTTACTTGAATAATATTAATGTAATATTAAATTATTGGAAATATATTTTTGTCCGCAGTGACACATTTCCTGTATGATGATAGATTTCATAACTTATAATATCTAAGTGTTTGTCAGAGCTAAAATATTTATTATAAGTACCAACTAAGATGTGTACTATACTAGTAAAATCTCTCAATACTAGAGATGTGACAATTTAATSAAAGTTTACTATGAAGATAATATATTGTTTCTGTTTGTAATGACATTGCCATAAAGCTAATGCCAATAATTTCAAGAATCACCTATGACAGACATWAAAAATTAGACTAAACACAAACCAGTGGCAACACCAAAATACCTTAAAGTTGTCATCGCTTCTTCTGTACTCCTGTTTTTCAGACTAACACACTTTAACCAAAACATTATTTTGGTTTTGTCTTCACCCTAAACTCCCATCCTGAGCCCATTTTTTCTCACAAAAAAAAATGTAAGAAACATATGAATATTGTGCAGATAGACTTTATTCCAAGAATGCAAAGCAAGCACGTTCCTTAGCAGCATTACAACCATTGTCAAGAACTTGTTTACATTCATTGCAATATTATTATGCTATCATACTACAAGTACAGATTTATAATGGACTTATTGAATAGTGGACTACAGTACTAAACGTCTGCTTGTATTACTTGCACTGTCCTAACCACTTAGGGAAGAGGCAAGGAAGGCAACACCCCTCTCGTAGAACCTATGACCAYGCCCTGCTGGTTCCCCTTTGGTGTTCATATTAAGGGTGAAGAGAAGCTCTGTTCTTGTCTGGTTCAGATAGACAGGTAAAGTGACCTGTTATTGCAAATTAATAAATATATTAATATAAGAATAACCATTATATGATATTGCTTTTTATTATGGAAGACCCCTTGCTGCTCACTACAGCTCTGTTTGCGGAAAAATTGTYTTTTACATGCACAAAGATRGTGTCGATTATGACTTTCTTACCATATTTGGCGCCATCACCTCTTGACCAGAGGGCACYCTRAAAGTGCAATGAAAARTCTCAATATTGATAAACAAAACATGGAGATGGATTAAAAAAATAAACTAACTTGCAGGCAAAGGGCTGAATTACTCACTAAATACACACATATTATAACAGTGTTATTTTATAAGAATTTTATAAAAGTCCTTCCTTCTCAGATGAGAACATGGGTTCTTTGAGGTAGACATAGCCTCCTSTYGCAGCCATTATTTGGCTCATTCCCAGGWCGGGAGAGTCCTGGGAACAAGCCTTATAATGGCTCCAAGAGKAGACTAAGGYAGATATCACCAAGATAAAAATCAYGTATCRTACTCTTCATCCATYCATACCTGTTCCATTTGAGGCTTGTCAAAGGAAGTTCAGTAGAGATGGAACTTGTCAGTTCAAGTTGATTGTTGTGACATGTWGCACCTTGTAACCTTAGACCTGCATAACAAAYCAACATCAATTGATCTGATTGGCTGAAACATAAATGACCTCTAACACATGTGTTCTTTGACTGGTTGATATAAAAACCTTGTGTACTTATTATTATAAGAATTAAAGTAATATTTCACCTGTGACTCCAAAGCTGCAATCATCCATCTTAAGCTTATCATCAGGACCATTAGCAATGGTGACCTTGTTATTATTAAATTAAAATGCAATGTAAGCTCCAACATGACATGACACTAACACTAGTTTTAAGTTCAAAACAATGGTTATTCAGATGTTTTGATCAAGAGGATGACTTTCCTCATTTTATCTCAATGACAAGGCAGTGTTAATGTAACGCAAGGGTTCTCCACCAGGGTGTGCACACTGGTTTCCATTCTTCACCCATAATCAATATAGGACTAAATTTCACAAGTTGAAACTGGTGGTAATGATGAAAATGATGGTTATTCAGACAATTTGGTCAAGAAGATGATCTTCTTCATTATATCTAAGGGTTCTCCACCAGTTTCCCTTCTTCACCAATAATCAATATATGAGTTCCCAAGTTGAAACTGGCATGTGTCATGTTTATGAAGATCACAAGCCAACTAAGAGAAGTGAACGCACGAAAAAAATGTTCAATACCTCCAAAGCTAGTTCCTCAAGGGACCAATTGTTGGCCTGTGCAACATACTGACGCGATGCGGTAATGTATGCCTCGGGTACAAACATGCCACCAAGCCAAATATGAAGATTCTGCAACAAGACATCAAACACATCACTTGGTTCTTACACATCATTTTTTGGATTTCAAAAATAACTATTRCATTTGAATCAATTTATTACCTTGAGGCCCTTTGAGCCACCAGAGTTTGCGGCTTGGGATATTGCCTGTAGCTGTTTGATGCGAGCACTGAAATCAACAACCCACTGRAGAACAGTAAGTTCCTTGGGGACAGTATAGCGACGCCAATCAACAGGCAGGATTCCTGTGCAAATTGTTCAAATAAAGTAGTAAATACATGCCAAGAAGACTGATTGATAACTGCAAGCCAATTCAGAGTTTAGCAAGAATTGCTTCCTATGGTTGTTGAGACAATTATGAACATGCCAATGACAAAGACAGCAATAAAGCAATGCTCTTATCTAAGCACACTGAATACTTTTCAGATTTTTCACTTTTTTAATACTAATAATTACAGATCTTTATTTGCACACAAGTTAAACCTAA